AGAACTAAAACACACTTGATATGTTCTTCCCTACACTGTTCAGATGAATGATGATCGGTTGATCTCAAAAACTTTATACTTTTACTACAACTTCAGTTTTTTGCTAGATCATGTAACATCCATCAATCGTACTTGATCGTGAAATATGATCAAATTATGATCAAATCGGTACATGACTGTGAAATGTTCATAAAATATGATCAAACTGATACTAATCAAAGCATATATAATCAAATCTAAAGCACGATTTTCTCAAACAAGAACTAAAACACACTTGATATGTTCTTCCCTACACTGTTCAGATGAATGATGATCGGTTGATCTCAAAAACTTTATACTTTTACTACAACTTCAGTTTTTTGCTAGATCATGTAACATCCATCAATCGTACTTGATCGTGAAATATGATCAAATTATGATCAAATCGGTACATGACTGTGAAATGTTCATAAAATATGATCAAACTGATACTAATCAAAGCATCTATAATCAAATCTGAAGCACAATTTTCTCAAACAAAAATCTCAAAAATTTATTTTACTACTATAACGCCAGATTTTTTTTGGATCATATACCATCCATCAATCGGCTCAGAGTCTTTCCGGATTACAATTTGTGTGTTAACTGGCACGATCTGGGGTTCGCTCAAGATGCTGGGTTTTCCAGAGGGTGGGCAATTTGTCAAAAAGTTTTCTTGTCAAAAATGGGCAAAATTTTGTCGATCTTTTCATTGAAACAATCAAATTGATTTATGAGCTTTCTCATACAGCTGAAAAACACCCAATTTAGCCAAAACGATCTACGCCATTGTCAAATTTTGGAAGATATAATTAAAAAAAAAATGACATTTTGACCACTTTTTGACAAGTTTTGATAAAAAATTGCGTTTTGTCGGTGCGCGCTTCAAAAAACAATTGACAGGTTATGGTTGATCAGAAATGGATGCCTTAAGTTAGTACCAAAGGAGCCCTTTGCTTAGTCAGGCGATGAGTCCCGGGAATCCCCTAAATATCACCCGGCCCAGGATATCATGGGGCAGGTTGGGACGATGTGAACACAAAGTGTTCCACTTTTCCCAGCAGAGAATAGCTGTGGGGGTTGATTGCAATGACGTAATCACAAGCCGTCAGAAGATGAACGTTAATGACGTCATCGGTATTGAATCCTTGGTTGCTTCGAAAGTTCGGCTTGTCTTTGCACCAAAGCACAACTAAAAATCAATGTAATTCAAAAAATTATTTGCTCAAAATCTTTCACTATTTTAGGGTCCTTGCTGTTATACGGCCAAAAATTTATCTTCTGGTTATTTTGAAATAGACTAATATGCTCAAATTTGAATGGTTGAAATAAATCACAGCGACAAAAAAAATTAAAATTTCGTCAAAAACTAAAGCTCTAAAAACAATTTTCTCATTTTGGCTGTATAATAGAGAAGACCCATAACTTACTAAGTCGCTGTTCGAACAGCCCCTGTGGCCCAAGTTAACATCCTCTAACCAAACACGTTTAGTTGGGATTTTAACTTGGTTCTGAAAATGAATTTTCTGCGAATCAGATCAGAGTGGTTTACACGCAGCGCTTAGCAGATTTGAATTGATGGAGGATAATACTTGGTATATTTGAGGCCCATAGGTTGCTGATTCATAGAAGACCCAGGGTCGTGAAAATTTATATCGAAGAAGTGAAAAATTATGAAACATCAGCCTGCGTGCGCAAAAGATTGACTACGCTAAATTTCTGTCAACCAATGAGAGCTCAATATTCAAAAATTCCGAAGAATTAGGCAATAGATTGAGCCAGCTTAGGACAATTCAAAGAAATCAGCCAAAACTGAATTGGATCAACAGTATAAATCCTCCTCCAATGAATACAGAGAAGATAAAAACCGGTATTACAGGGATTGACTTCGAGGGCAGAATAAATTGATCTAACTCAGCAAAAAAATCGATTGATAAAATGTTATGTTTAATGTACTAAGCTAATAACATGATAAAATTGACACTCGGTATAAAAAATCGACACATCGGATGTATTTTCCCCCTACTAACGATTATCCCCCTATAAAGATATAAATCAACGGCTAAGCATATCAGAGTTTTGTACCTAGTAACGAATACCCCCCGTATGCAAAAGGGAAATAGTTAAACAGATCCAAAATCTCCTGCAGTATAATCTGTGCGCTTGTTTGAAGTGAATATTTAATGCGGAATTAATTTTCAAAACTAACACGTATTTGGGGAGGACTTTCTACTGTAGGTCTCATATGGGGGGGGGGAGAGTGTAGGGTTGATCCAATGAATTTCATATTAAACATTCATCTGTTCAAAAACATTACTTATTGTGTTTTGTTTACTGTTCGAAATTTTTTCAGATCTAAATCAGCGAAGTATTAATTTTTTCCAATACGTCTTAGATTTGGAGATGAATTCTCACAGATCCTAACCTTCATAATAAAACCGATATATAGAATCCATAATAAAAAGTCATATAAATCCCAAACTTTTTTTTAAAATTTTGATTCCTTGAACTTAAATGGAAAAGTGTTATCTGCTCAAACGCATGAAAAAAAAATCTAGCGGCTGAAAAAAGAACACTGCAGTCGTTTGGAAATTCTGCCAAGTTTCAAGCAGAGAGTAAAAATCTATAAGAAAATCAAACAAGACTGCTCGTATCAGGGTGAAACCCAGAATGTTCCGACCGCCTTTTAAGGGTTATGGAGCAGTAATAACATTATAAAATTAACTTTACGAGAAATGATCACAGGTGAAATATCAGCTCAGGACAACAATAGTTTTCGAATGATATTTTTAAAAATTCCGTCAAAAATGGCTAGTTAAAAAGTCGAAATTTGTCTGAAGAAAAAAAACCCACCCCGAGCACAAATATTCCCTTACTTTCGCATCGAAAGTCGGAACAAAAAGGTTTTCGTCGAAAAATTGAACAATTTGTAAGTTAACCTTCTTTAATACACTCTTAACTTAACATTCTTACATGCATAACAGTTTAGGGTGAAGATTTTAACTTAGTTCTGAGTTCGAATTTCTAGCAAACTAGAATTGAGCGTAATACTCACCTCGTTTGGCAATTTTCACTTATTTTGAACGCTTTAATTCTTGACATACAATTTCATTAAGATTTCCTTTTTTTCCAAGGGTGGGATATACAACTTTACCTCCTATGAAGGAAGAAACTAAATTACGGGTCTTTTTCTGTTACACGGTCCGAATTATCAGCTTCTGTTTTTTGAGCTTCTGTTTTACTCATTGAAAACGCTAAGATTTCTTTTTGATGTATTTATTTTAACTAATCCAGATTTAGAGAAGCATGATCAAGCTTTCAAAATGGCAACAAGAATAGTTTTTGGGCCGTATAACAGAAATGACCCTGAATGCGAAATATGCACTGTGTGCTCCGAATTGCCCCTTTTTGCTAAAGGGTGGGAGGGGTCCATCCATCATAAGAATGTCCCCCTGAAAAACAAACCGACCTGGCAATATTTGAAATTTCATCTCTTATTTTGTCATCAGTCAATAAAAACATTTTTTGTCCGTCCAGGGTTTAATTGTTTACTTTGAGTTTTTGCGCTATTTATTTGAGTACTTTGAAAACCTAACTCTGATTGGCTAAAGTATACTTTTTCGTCCTTCTTTCTTTCCGACATAAAAAGGGACACCCCTTGTTACGTATTATAAGGACACCCCTTATTTTTTTCAACCAATCAGAACTTTTTGTCTCTATTTTAAGTTTAAGATTTGAAAAAAAAGGACGCAATAAAAGAATACCTGAAAATCCTCCGGTGGTTCCAGCACGCGAGTAGCCATAGGCCAAAGCGACTTGAGCATAAGAAGCCTGAAAGTTCTGTGCCACGCTTTGAATTTGAGGCGCCACCGGAAACGTGTGAACTGTAGTAGTGAACGCACTCATTGGTACACTGGGGACTAGATCATCAGCCTCACAGTTGAACGTAACTCTGTCATATTTAGCACGGGTGCCGCATAATTTATTCAATTCAGTTTTCAAGCGCTAATCACTTCGAGTGTCTTGTTATCTATCCCCTCTACGGGTGACTTCCGAAATTGGCGGAATGGACACGTTTTGGAATCTACTTAACAATCCCCCTTCTATAGAAATTACTAAAAAATCTTCATACCTGAAAATAAAAACAATAAATTAGCACTAGAGCTTTTTCTTGAGATGTCGACTTTTGCTGCTTTCTTTTTGGTCGAAAAATCATAAAATAGGGGGAGATTAATAAATATATCCTCATTTTTCTCAAACATCCAAAGGTTCATAAAAGCGAGTTTTTTCTAGACTTTAGATTCCAAACAGGAATTCAAAGTCGTGTAAGAATTTCTTAAGATTCTTTTAGTACTTTCAATTCTAGCTACTAGCTTACAATATGTAAGCGGTTCTGGTAAGAGTTCCGATTCTTTCGTACAAAATGCAAGATTCTTACAAGAATTTGAATTCCGCTGTAACCAGGGTATCGTACCTAGCAAATAAAAACCACCCCTATGAAGGATTACACTCACCGGTGAAACATTTGTGATATTTGTATTGGCTGGCATGGGGTTATAATTAACAAGAAAAGTTTAAACTAAAAACCTGTCAAAAACTCGGCTCTTGGAGAACTCTAAGACTCTTGACAATGTTGCTCTGTCTAAATGTCCAGTTAATTGAAAAATTTCAAAAACTGAATCTCAGCAGCTGGGGTAGAAGTTTGCTTTGTGTACTTTTCAAAATCCATTTTAAATACCATGATATAAGTATGTACCTAAACCAGGTGGGCAGATCCAAAATTTGAGTCTTTGCGTCTTAATTAGCCAATTTTTGTGGTTTTTGTGATTAAAAATTCCCTCTTCTACTCTATTCCAAATATTATAGCGTGTATCTCCTCTCTGAATTCTCCCTAAGCAATTTCTAACTCTGCGTAGCAGTTCACCCCTCAGAGAACTGGCTCCCTATTTTCTATGATTTCGCCCCTAAAGTTTTGCACACTCTCACATACCCCTCTTGAAAATTAGTATGAAAACCAAAAACTTCGCGTTGTTCCAATATAGTTTTCTCGTTAAAATTTTTATGCGGAAGCCATGCAAGTATTTATGTCCAGGGTCCCAGTTGTTGCTGCTTTCAACCAAGTTTCGATTAGAGGAGAGTATAGTAGCCCCCGCCATCATGGTGCTAGTTTCGGATTGCACAAACGTAAGGTCGCACTTCGTGATGATAGAGGGGAGGACCCATTCTAAATCAATCGAATTGGCAAAAGGCAGCTGAAACAGATAGTTGTATTTATAAAACAGGTTTAAAGCATAAACTATGCCAAGTTAACTGCAAAACTGGGGACATTTACTATCTGATTCGGTAAGAAAAAACAGTGCGTTTTAGGTTAATCTTAATTATTAGCAGTCTTAGGTTAACTAGCTTTTTTCAAATTCGATGACCGAAAAAAAATATTGCCATCAATTTTGTACTCGAGAGAAATTTAGAGCAAGGTTTGAACGTTTTTTTTTGTTTATAAGACTATAAAGATCAAAGTTGTGATTACAAGTAATTCTTGCTATATTTTGAACACTTGACCCAGGTTTGGAGTCTTAGATGTGAAAATACGGATCATTTTCTGCGGACAAATTGGTGAAGTTATCATAAAAATGTCTAGGGTAACCTTGTATAGACGAAGATTTACAAGAATAAATTGTAACCTTGTCTGTGGAGTGTGAAGATTTGTAGGACCAAACCACCTCGTCCGGAGCGCCGGCTATAAGGCTATCTGGAAAATCGACCGAGTCACACACTTTGGGTAGAATAACTGGGTTTAAAAGCAGGAAATCAGTCTCGTAATCAGGGCCCTGTCTGCCCGGAGCCTCGTAAAATTGAACAACCCAATAGAAAGTGTCGTAGTAGAGCGAAACTGTGCTTTGAGGCTGATTATCCAAATTGAACACCTGCCAAAAAAAAACAAGCATTTTTTTTCTTCATAACAGCCCCCTCGTAAAAGAATTAACAGACTGTGATTTTTTTTTGGAATTTAGCCAGGGAGCTATGATGGCAAGGCGCCAAATTAACTCAAGTTAGTAGAATACTTTTATCTACAGTCTGAAACGCACAAAAATGCATGTCTTATGTCCATATTTAGATTTTAAAAATTTCACTTTGGTCGGTGTTTCACTCATATAGTCGCTTCTTGCGTTAATTCTTCAAACATGATTGTGAAGTTTTCAATTCTAACCAATCTTTTTCCATAACAAACACTAAACTGGGGAATTTACAAGTTCACTGAAGTAAGGTGAAGACTTTCATCTAAAGTAATTTGATCTGTTCAGAGATTCATTCTTATAGTCCCTTCTTGCGTTCTTTTTTCAAAAATGATTGCAAAGTATTTAACACTAACCAATCTCCTTCCATAACTAACACTAAATTGGGGCATTTACAAGTTCACTCAAGTAAGTCGAATATTTTTATCAAAAGAAAATCGATATGCTCGGAGTTTCATTCATACAGTCCTTTCTCGCGTTATTTCTGCAAGCATGAGTGAAGAGTTTAAAATAATAACCAATCTTTTTCCATAACTAACACTAAATTGGGTCATTTATAAGTTCACTCAAGTAAATTGAATATTTTCATCTAAAATAACTCGATCCGACGGAGTTTCTTCTATATAGTCCCTTCTTGCGTTATTTCTTCAAACATGATTGTAAAATTTTACTACTAACCAATCCTCTTCTATAACTAACACTAAACTAATTTGGGTACTTTTACAAGTTCACTCAAGTATGTTGAATTTTTTCTCTAAAGTAATTCGAAGTGTAGGGGGTTAATTCATATAGTCGGTTCGTGGGTTATATCTTAAAAAGTGATTGTAAAGTAATTAATACTAACCAATCGTTTTAAATAAAAAACCTCTACATTATTATTCCGACTTTTGTAATGAAACTAACGGAGTATTTGTGCTCAGGTGGTTTTTTTCTTCAGACAAGTTTCGAATTTTCAAGTAGCCATTTTTGACATAATTTTTTCAAATCATTCAAAATGTATTTTTGTCGGGAGCTTAAAAATAAAAAGTTATTTTACCTGTGATCTTTTTTTTGTTAAGTTATGGGGGTTTAAAAATTGCCATTTTGGCCATTTTGGGACGAGTAACGCGCGATATACTTCGCGCGATCAACGCGTAAGCGGACATTTATTCCGTCTTAGAAATGGTTCCACATTGGTTGAAGGAAGCTTATATAATTTATTGATTTTTTACTAGGAGCGAAATCTTTCACTATGTACTTTAAATGTGTGGGGGATAATTTTCACAACGAAATTTCAATTTTTTTTATTAAATTTTTTTATTTTCATGTATTATTGCTCCACAGACCCTAACAGGCAATCAGAACATACAGGGATTCACCCTGATACAAGCAGTCTTGTTTATTTTAAAACTGATTATTATAGTCAGGCTTTTTGAGATTATGTAGAGTGAAATTGATCTCCAACACGGTGTTTTCTAATATTTTCATAAGTTCTATTGTGACCAGAATGAGTAAGATAAAAACCAGTATTTTAATAAGAGTCGCACGAAAATATCCGGCCGAAAACAAATGAAACCTATCCGGCGCGACAAACAGACGGTGTACTCTTGGTGACCAACTAGTCTTGAAAAACTAAGACTAATTTAGATGAAGGGTTCAACAGCAGACTTAAATGTCTGTCTCAATATATCTGGAACAATTTATTTGAAGCAAATTATTTTAGTGAAATCTCAGCGCAGAGATAATTGGAGTATTGCTATTATGAAAAAAAAAATTCTGAACATTTTTTTGCTAAGCAAAAAGTTTCTTCGAAAAAACTAATTTTGATTACTTTACTTCCTTCATTGAATTTGCAACCATCCAAATGCAAAATGTTTTTCACACTTTTCGTTTTCTGTCAATTCAATCTAATAATTTTGCAAAGAAAAAACAAGACTGTTCGTATCATGGTGAAGCCTAGAATGTTCTGACGGCCATTAATGTCTATTGAAAAAATTAAATGTGATAAACAAAATGAAAATTTTAACTCACGTTTGAGATTTTTTCAATCCCCAATGTAAAACACATCCCCACTCGCCATAAAAAGCACAAAGTGATAGATTTCGCTCCTAGTAACAAATCAATTCTGGCAAATAAGCTTCCTTCAACCAATTTGGAACAATTTCTAAGACGAATTAATTATCCGCGTACTCTTTAATAGCGCTTACGCTTCAATGGCGCAAAAAAAATTGCGCATTAGTTGTCCCAAATTAACCTAACAAAAATAATCACAAGTGAAACATTTTTTTCAAGTTCAAGCTCAAGACAACAATAGCTTTTGAATGATATAAAAAAGTTCCATGAAAAATGGCTAGGTAAAAAGTAGAATTTTTTCTGAAGAAAAAACGCCACCCGAGCGCAAATTTTTTGTAACTTCAAATCTGGACTCAAAAATGGACTCAGCGCATCGATATTAAATCAACGATTTTAACCGAGCACTTCTTTTTTATGACATTAAATTTCATTAAATTCAGTGATCTTCTAACTTTTATAACGAATACCAAAAGAAGTCTAATTTGTTCCACACATTTTTTTCCGAACCAGCAAACTACAAATTTTCAATTTTGTTTGGAGGATTTCGCATGAAAGTATTTTTTCAATTAAAAAAAACTTCCTTGACAAGAAGATAAATCCAAAAGATCATATTGTCATGAAAATCGTTAAATTCCATTCCTGTAAATTAGAAATTAATAGCTCAGACTGTGAATTTTTGTTCGTTTTTAGTACTAAAGCTTCAAGTTTTTTAATAACTCAGTTTCAAGCAACCATCGTTTCCTCACGCCTCAATTTAATGATATGCACCAGGATATCCACACTTTAACGACCACGACAACCAATGGATAATTGAGAAGTATCAAGACAGCCACAAGATTATGAAGAATTAATCTAAGATCTAATCTGATAACCAATTTACTAAGGAAATCTTATTTACTTATTTAAAAAGAAATCTAGTGAGGTAAAACAAATCCTTTTGCTTCATTAATCACCCCTCACTTCGATGTTTCTACAGCTGGCCTCTCTGACCAGTTAAAGACTTCCTGCGCAAGCTCTTAAGCGGATCTTATCCGCCGTGCTACTAAAATTACGTTTAGAACAACCATCATACTTTTTTTACCAAGAGTGGTTCCGGCAAGATTTTCTATAAAAAAGACGAATTTTTAAGCAGCGTTTGCATTTTTTAAATAACTTCATTTTAACTAGTATTATAACTCAAGCAGTAATATATGTTTTTATATGCTGTAATATATGCGACTAGCGATGAATCTACTCTGATGGTCAAGAGATAACTGTCAGTATTCTTTGCCAGTTTTTGGCTCCAAAACATCTGGTATCTGACAACTAAAAAAACTAGAATCCGAGTGTGTTAGCGATGGTTTAAAAGCATTTTTCAAACCTCAAGAATAGGAATCTTTGATCTATGGAATCTTTGATCTATAACCTACGAGCAAATGAACTGGTCGAAAGATCAATCCAGACAAACAGCTGGCCAACAGCAGGTTCAGACTAAAACTATGTAAATTGAGCTTGAAGCTTGTAAACTTAACAATAAAAAAGGCTGAAACAGGGCTGTTCTAAAATTCTTTGGTCAAAACAAAGCCGATTTACAAAAACTTGATATTTTGTCGGTTTTCTTATCGGTCCGGCTGTTGTGGACTTAAAACGATGCACCAATAGACATCTGAAACAAAAGGAAAACACAGTCTTGGTAGAGCAAAACGAGTCTCGGGAAAAAGTCTGACTTCCCTTAATTATAGACTTTGTCTTTCTCAAACAAACGTTGCTCAAGCCGAAAACAAACCGAAAACAATACATTTTGGATCCAACCAAACTTTTCAGAAACCGTTAGCAACAACCACTTTGCGAGATTCCGTCAAGATACTAAAATTACAAAAACAAACTAGTTGGAACGAATGATAATGGTAATCAACAGTGCAAAGTCCAGTGCAAGTTCAATTTTTTCAATGAACTGATATTTAATCTCAAATGGTTTCAGGAAAACCCAAACAATCATCGAGAGTGTGTAAACTAACCTAACAAAAACGTCTTATGCATACAGCCGACGGATGATGTTAGAGAACGAGTTAGGATCTGGTGACATGAGACTTCATTCAAATTATAACTCTTTTTTGATGCTTTGAGAAATAAAGTTCAATTTTTCTTGTCTATCAAAGCTGAAATTAAATGATCTGATTTTTTTTGCTGCCTCTCGTTAATTTACTCGAGTTCAACCAAATATTGAAGTGGGTCAACAATAAAACTTTTTCATGAGATTCATCAATCCCAGTCCACGAAGTTGATGCTTTATATTTCGAACTCATTTTATGTTTATCAAAAATGGCAACATAAGGGTGATATGATTTTTTAACCCTAAAGATATGTCTTGAGTTCATGTAAGATAAGTGATCAAACCTTTTTTGAGGTAAGTTAATACTCTCAATGGTTTCAAAAGTATCTTCATTATAACTTACTTGTTTTGCAACGATCCAAAACAATTTGATCAAAAACAATTGACTTTCGACGGAAATTCAAACTTTTTAGGTTAGACAATCCAGTTTTTGAAACCAGCAGTTTTAATTTCATTTGTTTTAGCTATTTTCCAATTAAAATTAAATTTTAACACGTTTTTTTAAAAAAATTGCTAAAACATGACGAAGTGTCCTATAATGGTGATTAAATTAACTATTGGGAACACAACTTTTCTTCAAGAATTACATCGTAAAGACAAGCCTTCAGCCATAATACCGCGTAAAACTACCATGAAAGTAAAGTTTTCAAAAGCGGGGGAATTTTGGAAAATGAATTTTTTTTCTTGGGTTTGTACTGGAACTAATTGATAGATAAACTTATTAAATAGTTTCAGTTATTGAAATGAATGCATGGGGCAGCCGTGGTGGCCTTCAATAGTGAAATTGTTGGAAAGTTTATTCACAGCGATACCCTCTGGATACACTCAGGATCAAACAGGGTGGACCTACAGTCTGGAAGACTAGCTGTATTTCTCATCCCAACTACAATCAGCTGAGTTCATTTCATTTTATTTGTCTTTATATACATTTTTCTATCTCTACTTCATGATCAAAATAGTAGCAGCAAGCTCTCTTAGCCGTTCCATTGCAAAACTTGACGAATCTGAACAACATAAGCTTGCCGATTCTGTTCATTCTTTACCCGGCCTAAATCTTGACCCTAATAGAGCAAGCTATTGTTACAATTATTTAACGTCAACCCACCTGAGGAAACATAACTTTATACTGTGGCATGACCTACTCAACAACACAATAAAATCACATCCAAAAAAGAATAACAATCCCCAAACGGTTGATCAACTCATCGCGACTCTGAAAACAATTCCCAATCTCTTCTGCGTTTTGACATGTCAACGAGTAGGAGCTCCGTACATCTTTGACGACCTTGTGAAGGCCTTGGACTGTTACGTCATTGACGTGACAAAGCACGTTATCAGCGCGTCTGAACAAATCGACGAATCGGTGCTTGCTGAGTATCGCAGACTTCATCAGCATTCTGACATTGAGTTACGTACTTTGGCCACTGTACTGCACTATTACCCCAACATCAAACGGATCTTCAAAACACGTGGTACGAAGCGAAGATCAGCTGGAGAGAGACGCGAGGCGAAAAGACTAAATTACTAAACAGGTAGGCGTGCTTATCGAGTCTCTGGCTCTGAGCCCCTCCCTATAAGTACTGAAGTTGTTTTTAGATTTACTCTTTACATAGGTGCGCTTATTGAGTCTCTGGCTCTGAGCCCCTCAAAGATGTCTAAACATAACACTCGAAATCGAGTCAAATCAATCTCTGATTCATGCTTCACCTGTGATGAGAAAATCCTGAAAAATGAAAGTTCATTCGACTGCTTCGTCTGTGGCTGTCGAATGCATCTGACTAAAAATTGTACTGGCCCGAGTGAAGCGGCTGTCAATGGAGTACTGGCTATCGGAAAAAATTCCTTACTTCTTTGTAACAAGTGTATCGAAGAGAAGCGCCACAAAAAGCTAGCACAATCTGCCCATGTGAACACGGTCTCAAATGAACACCAAGAAAGTCAGATGAAAAACCTTGAAACCGAAATGACTGACCTCAAGAAAACTGTGTCCGAAATCAAAACGCTTCTCACAAGGAAACCGCCCGATTCCGGGCAACCAGCTCGAAATAGTCCGATTACCAAATCACAAGAACAAATGCGGAAACCTCCCGAAGAACTCGATGGAATTCGTATACGTGGTATCCCAGAATCAACGGAAAAAAGGCAAGAGTACGCCAAGAACACGACCTTGCAGAAGTTGAAAAACTACTAACCCATATGGAAGTCAATGCTATTATAGGCGACGTCATAAGACTTGGCCGATATGAAGAGAACAAACGAGAACTATCCTATTAAAAGTTCCAAATGCATATCAGCGTCGAATGGTACTGCTATCGGCGAGAAAGCTGAAAACTTTCAGTCAACCAATCTTTCTCAGCAAACAACTGACAAAAGAAGAAGCTGACCTTGAAAACTTAGCTCTTGTGAGACGACGAGAACTGATAAATAAAGGCACCGATCCGAAAAATCTGCGTGTTCGTGACGCAACCCTGTTCATTCGACAGGGCGCAAAGTGGACAAAAGAGAAGCTCCCGTGGCGGACGAATGACTAGCAGCTTTCATAAATATACTAATTTACAATGTGAGAAGTATACTTGAATACCAACGCCGAACAAATTTCTCCAATGCCGTTCAAGTGAAAAATATTTATCAAATTATCTGCCTAACAGAAACGTGGCTCACAGAGAGCATTAGCGATATAGGTCTCTTTCTAACCAACTATGCGATACATCGAAAAAACAGACTATCTGATAAAGGGTTGACAAAGCATGGCGGTGTACTGATAGCAGTAAGCAAAAACATTCCAAGCTCTCAAATTGACTCAATTTTTCAAGACTGTGTGATAATTCGTATAAGCTTAAATAAAAATTCCTAATATGTTGTCTTTACAGCGCCCCGTCAAACAGTGCGTACACATGGACTCTTCCGGACATCGTTGAGCGCCTAAAATTCATTAGGCGAAAACATTTCGAATACAGTGCTGTTTGCTCATATGTAGCTGGAGACATCAATCTTTCATCTACACACTGGCCCTCAATGACGTCAACATCTCTCTTCGAGCAAACAATCCTCAATGAACTATGTGAATCAAATTTTCAGCAACTCATAAAAACCCAGGACGGAAGGTCACTGGATGTTCTCTTATGCAATAAACCCCAGTATGTGACAAGCATAGTCATTGATAACCATCTGAGAAGTTACTTCAATTCTGATCACAAACCTTATCAAGCTAAAGTCTCGTTTGACATCCGACCTGTACATATCTCTTCACCGTCTCCCAAACAAAAGCTAGACTTCGGTATATTTGCATACAAGAAAGCTAACTAGAAAGAAATTAATGAGTTCATTCTCCAACATCCCTTCCGACCATACAGCATGAGCAACGTGGACTTGATGGTTGAACTTTGGTATAAGTGGCTACATGAAATATTAAAGGATCTTCTTCCAATAACTACGAAACATAGGTCCGAACTGGCTCCATGGGTAAGTGGCAACTCTTCAAACCTCATCAAGAAGTTAAAAACACTTCAATTGAAACAACAACGGCAGCCCACGCCGTCAAACAAAATCAAAATCGAATGTCTACAAACTGAGCTCACCCTGTCGCTTCAAAATGACCAGCATCTACATGAGAAGACGCTCTTCAAGGAAGGCAAATTCAGCGACATACAGAGATACTTGAAGTCGATCACCAAGTCGAACACTATCCCTACCGAAATTTTTTTGGATCAAAGAACTGCCAATACAGATATTGAAAAAGTAATATTATTCAACGAATACTTTCAATCAGTGTTCACTCAAAACACCTACTATACGAAAATAGGCGAACAAAATAGCATCCTACTAAATCAGATTCACTTTACGACCGATGAAATAGAAAACGCTCTGCAACTACTGGACGTAAATAAAGCCAAAGGACCGGATAAGATCGGGAACTTACTTCTGAAGAGTCTCTCCAAGTCACTGCCAAAATCACTGCACTTACTGTTTAACCTCGTCGCAAATAAAGCCCGATTTCCGGAAAAATGGAAAGTCAGTGAAATTGCATCAATACTCAAAGACGGAGATAAACAAGATGTGAGTAATTACAGGCCTATCAGCCTGCTTTCAACAGTCACAAAACTGTTAGAGAAACTGATTTTCGAGAAGCTGACTCCAATTGTTTACCCAACTCTGGCATCAGCCCAACATGGTTTCAGACCCAAACGGTCAACTATAACGAACCTTATAGAAAATCTGCATGAAATCTATAGCTGCTTAGAGTCTGAAAACTGCTCCTATCTGAATATCTTCTATATAGACTTCGAGAAAGCGTTTGACAAAGTCACGCATGAGCTTCTCATACAAAAGTTGGCTGCTCTGGGAATTGGTGGAAACTGTTTGAATCTGTTAAGAAGCTACCTCTATAAACGGAAGCAAACTGTGAGACTAAATGACACTGTTTCAGATGAATTAGAAGTATTCAGTGGCGTACCACAAGGCTCCATCCTCGGACCGCTCTTCTTCTTGGTTTTCATAAACGATCTTCCATCATGTGTCATGTCCAAATCGTTCGGTTATGCTGATGACTACAAAATTGTAGGCGACAACCCTTTAACACTGAATATAGACGTTAGAAAACTGTGGCGGTGGTGTGACGAAAATTTCATGTCAATGAACTTAGGAAAAAGTAAAGTGCTCTGCATTAAAGGTACAGCTCCTATTGCACTGCCAAACCATGAATTTGAAACAACTGAATGTATGAAAGATCTGGGAATTCTCGTAAATGACACACTCTCGAGGAATCTGCATGCAAAGAAAAGGACCGAAAAAGCCTTGAACGCTCTCTTCATCCTAAAACGGAATCTTTCAAAAGCGACGTTTTGGACCAGAAAGAACGCATATATCTGTTATGTTGTGCCCATTTTAAACTACAGATCAGCCCTTTGGAAACCATCAAAAGGCGACTTAGGTACTCTTGAAAGTATCCAGCGAAAAGCAGTATCATGGATCTTCATCACAAACAACATATCCTATAAGGATAAGCTCGGGAAACTCGATATCCTTCCAATCTCCTTATATCAAGAACTTCATGTTATTCTCTTGTTTGCCAAAATACTAACCGGAAAAGTTGACATAGACTGGCGTAGTCAAGTAACCATCACAGACATCGGTACTCGAAGAACACAAGCAACACGAAATTTTGCCTGCCAACAAATACGTCTGAAGAAGTGTGAATCAGATTACTGGTTTCGAGCTTGCCGTCTGGCCAACCTTTTTAACGATTACTTCAAATTTGACATAATCTTTGATCCAGGATGCAAAATTAAACTGCTGGAAGTTTATACGAAGTTCTTCAAAACCCGCTACAACGAGTCAGATTCATACACTTGGCGGATATTATATGGCTGCAACAACTGTAGAGATTCGAAGAAACTTAATTTTAACAACTGAAACACGAACGTTGAACCTCCCAATCACTGGGTTTTATGCCAACCCTTGGATTAGTCCTAAATCCTTTGTTATTATTATTATTATAGGGCAGCGCACTTAACATGCGAAAATGGTTTGTCTAAGCCTTTTCTAAAAAAATTTGGATAAGTTTGGGCAAGCCATTTGCGAAAGTGCCAGTCTTGTTTTCCACCCTTTCCCCCATTTTTGAAAATAAGAGAATTTTATTTATTATAGTAGTTTTCTTCTGATTTTCATTGTTTTTTTCCTTGTTCCTCTATTTTTGTATACGTCGTTTTCATAATAAAGATACGGGCTGCTAATGGCTAAAAGCTAGCTTGTTACTACGATTTAAACAAAAATCCTACAAAAATTGGCTACCTTACAAAAATTTCCCTAGTCGATCAAGGAAGAATATTTTGCAAGAACTAGTTTACTGAAGTCAGACCAGTTTAGAGTCCTAAAAACAAGTAGAACATGTGGAAGATGTTTACCGGCAAAGCTCGTAATTCTTGTGAAAACAACGTGGTCAGATTTGTACTGAAAACAGGCAGCAGTGATATTGCTTTAAAATCGTTTTGATTATCAATCTCATTTTCTTGATGAATTGCCATTACTAAGCATTTTTTGAAAAAGTAGGCAGAACGCAGTAAAAATCACAAATGTTTGTCAGAAAAATGACCGCAAGAACAACAGCATTTATCATTTTCATAACAATGATAAGTTCAGACGAAAACTATAGCCTGTTAATTTTTACAATGAAAGGGGCTGAAAAAAGGGCATGGCTGCTCTGAAATTGGTTGCGAAAAAAAAACATAAAACCTCGGCCCTGGTGACTCAAGCTGCCTTATGTACATACCTGGTGACTGTTTTCCATTCCTGGCGACCAGAAGACCGTGACAGTCGAGGAAGATATCCCATTGGTCGGCCAATCTTGGGTGACAATCACCGGTTCTACGGGTTCGACTGGATCTCCTGGCGACAACCAGACGAATGTTTTGCTAGTAGCGGGGTAATTGGGCACAGGAGGTAACATGACGTCATCGAACAGAGTGATTGGAAATGAAGTGGCAAGTGACAATACACCGTGCGAGAGCGCTGTCAGGAAAAGGATGTAATCACTGCCGGGTACGAAGCCGCTTGGTGCCTAAAAGATCAGAAAAGCAGGTTGGAAAGCAAACTGAAAACCTATCAACGCTGAAGTCGTCCACGCAGAATCGAATTAACAAAACATATTCTATAAGTTTTGCTTTCTTTCAGTTGGGAATAATTTTGAGTCGATCAAGAAACCTGCGATCGATTGACGTTTCATGAGAAAAAATTTATCACAGTAATTATAAAAAGGTTGCGTAACAATTTACACCTGTTCTCATTACACAAAAAAATTGTAAAATGATTTCAAAAATGATTAAAAAACATTTAAGCCGTTCAATTTATTTGATGTTCTAACATTTGGCGTCGCAAGGAGTACATTCGAGTGATCTGTGATGTCTGTGATTTCATGTTGGCTGGATGCCATAAGGCTCCCATCTGGGAATGCTGGCGATATCCTCATATCAGTCCATTTTCCAACTTGAACCAGCTCAACACCGACAGTCTATAACAAAAATATCGTCAAAATACAAAATAGTTCTCAGCCAAAGCTTAAACTTGTTCAAATAATTCTTGGAAGCTTCGCGTTCGCTATTTAGCTTGTTTTCTAACTTCTTAACCGACATCTGCAAAATAAGAAATTGTTCTCACTTTATATTTTAATTTTGTTCAAAAAATTCGTATTTACATTTTATAAATTTTTGAACGCTGAATAGCGTTAAAATTGCCTCGTCAAACAAAAAACAGTTTTTGAACGAAATGGTATCGCCAAGACAGTTTGCCGGTATAAATACTTTGTAAAATACCCGACACACAGAGGTATATAAAAGAACAAAAGTCCATTTTTACAGAGTTATGCATGCAATTTCGGTGCTTCAGATAAACCTGAGCTGTAAATGCAACCTGAAAAGTTGGCTTTTTTTTCAAAAACAGGTTATTGCGTTTTTTTTTCAATTTTGTTATTCCAAAACTTTTACTACTAGTTATAATTAAAGAATATTGGCTGATAAATCATTTTTTGCCAAACGTTGACTACTTTGAGCATCTGAGTTGGTCAAAATTGATTCTTCTTGGGTGAGTTAAGTTCAAAGCTACTTTATGAGAACAAAGTGGGCAGTTTGAACTAAATAAATTTTGCGAAAAAACGTTTATCTATACCTTTGCGCTAAAAATTTTAAAATCGGCCAAAAATTTTTTTAGGACTGACAAAACTAGTTTAAAAAGAAACTGACAAATTGCAAGAAACAGGCCATATTGATATAAATTTTCCAGCCTAACAAGTAGCACTTAAAAATTAAAACCCATTTCTCCTTAAATGGGCTCACTTCAGACAAAGAAAAAGCTTGCTTAGAAAAAAATTTAGCAGACTAGTTTGCTGAAAATTATTATGCAAAACTCGGGACTAATTCTTTTTTTTTCAAAACTAATCCGTTTTGTTGATTTTAGGCCAGCAAAAGTTACGCAAGAATCACGTGTTTAATTGCTGACAGTTTTGTAAGAAAGTAAAAGTTCTTTACAGCCCAAGCAAATTTATAAAAAATATCATCTTTCCAACTGTGTAACTACGATTATTTTCGCTTGTAGATAAATCTATTTTCCTATCTTTTTTAATTAAAACACCAATCTTGGATACAACAAATAACAGTTAAATACAACAAACGAATTCAGATGCAGTTTTTCTGTATCAGTTTTTGCCTAAAATTAACTAAATTGATGAAAACGCATTTCATTTTTCAAATTTTATTTGTTTTGTCCGGATGATTTCAATCAGCACTGTACTTTGGAAACTTTCTGCATTTCAAAGATTCTTTTTCAAACTGATGATTTTAGATGTCAAAGTTGCCGGCAACAACAAAATGTCAGGTAATTTTTTGTCAAAAGATTAGATTGCTCTGGTTTATTAATTTTGTCTATCAGGGCTTTTTAACGCTACAAGTTTTTGAACTTTTAACACATTTTTAAAATGCAGATTTGCTAAAACAAACGTTTTCCGACGTCAAATTGAGCATTTATATAAAAACAAGACTGCTGGTATATCATAGCAAAGCCCTGAATGTTTCGACTGCCCCTTGATCCATATTGAACAGTATTGGAAAAGTTTTAATAAATATGAAAAAAAAATTTTGATAAATTTTGGAAACTATCAACGATCAAAAACAAAATTAATACAATCATAAAAAGAAAATAATGATAATATGGAGAATATCAAAGATCAAGTACCAAAATTTGAGAAGTACAAATTACATACGACCGAATAGCTAGCCTCAATTCAATTTGGAACAACTTTGTTGCGCGGGATAGTTCAACACGTATAAATTATTTGTGTTACAGTTTGAGGATTGTGGATCAAAACTTCATAAGGTGCATAACATTGTCCAGAGCATGGCCAGACTCGCCAATTTCAAATTCCCTAAGTTTTCTAGAAAATAATCGAAGGTAAATATCTATTTATTTTTGATTTTAGGGAAACAATATCTTTTTTTGGGGAACAAAATATTGTTGTCGGAGTTTATTATTTTGATCGCCGAAAATTGACTGAATAGAAAAAACGATACCAAGCATAAATTGTCCTTTTTCTTCGAAAATCGGAACAATAATGTTAGTAGATTCACTGATCGCAAAAGGATTGCCAACAATTTGGTATCAAAAAAAGCCCATAACCGAAAAATTTTTTGTTAAATTTATATAAAGAGTTCAAAAAATTAAAACAGACAAAATTTAGTTAAGGCAACACACAATCTAGAGGTGTCCCAAGGTCACCTACAAAATCAAATATGCATGTGAAGTTTGCTGAAAATTGGCAGATTGATATTTTCACTTAATTCTTTCTACAACAATTTTTTGCAACTTATTATATTGCGTCAATTTACGTATGGGCCAGCACTGTATTTCAGATTCCAGGTAACGTTTGGGATGTGGCCGTATCCAGGGTATGATGGCACTATGATTTCACAATCATCATTCCAGTTCTGAGGCACAGGTTGGGGTTCAATTGGTGTCGCTATCACCTCAAACTCACTCGAGTGGCTCAGTGCTTGAGTGTATTGGTCGGATTTGCTGGTAGAACTGATTGTGAATGTGTAATTTTCTCCTGGCATCAGATCCTTAAAGCTGTTATTCCGACTCAACCTGAAACAATAAATCTGAAACTTTTTTAATAGCTTATTCACGACGAAAAAAAAAACATCAAGTGTGTATACGAAGTATGTTAAGACAATTAATATAAAAATCTTTCCATTTAATATATTTGTAGTAAAGTTAACAGTTAACTTGCTTCTATAAATTTTAGAAAATCAATAAAATGTCCTAATTTTTGGCAACGTCTTGAATTTTTGCCGTGTGTATCCTTGAAACTGTTTGAATTGATTGATTTTATAAAGAAGGAATTTATCCACGAGGCAAAGGATGAACACACGAGCTGTTTCCCTGCCTACGCAAAATCGCTCTGTTTTACCCCTGGTTATCAATTACATGCATGTTTGTTGAACTGGGTAAGATAAACGAACCCTTGAGTAAAAATAAGGAAATTGATGGCCTCGAACCACCGACCTGTCGAGTGAAAAGACTGAGCCATTTCACCACCGCTCTCCTATTTTAATGAAAAACCAGAAAAAATTGTTAAATCTGCGAAAGGACTCAAACATTGAAAAAATTTGTTGTAGAATTTTTGAAAAATTTTGTTTCGCAGTAAATCGCTTCAACAAATCATACCTCGAGCACTGTCGAAACATACCTCGAGCACAGTGGAAACATGCCTAAGGCACGGTCAATATATACATCGAGCAAGGTTGAAGCCTACCGCGAGCACGGTCAAAGCATACCTCAAGCTATGTCGAAACATACCGGGAGCACGGTCGAAACATACCGGGAGCACGGTTGAAACATACTTCGGGCACGGTCGAAACATACCTCGAGCACGGTCGAAACATACAGCGAGCATGGTCGACAAATACCGCGAGCACGTTTGAAACATATCCGAGAACGGTCGAAACATACCGCGAGCACGGTCGAAACTTTTCTCAAGCGCTGTCGAAACATAGCTCGAGCACGGTCTAAATATATCTCCAGCACGGTCGAAACATGCCTCGAGCACGGTCGAAACATACCTCGAGCACGGTCGAAACATACAGCGAGCATGGCCGACAAATACCGCGAGCAGTGTCGAAACATACATCGCCAAGGTCGAAACAAATCTGGAGCACTGTCTAAATATACCTCGAGCACGGTCGAAGAATACTTCGAGCACGGTCGAAACATACCGCCAGTACGGTTGAAGCATACCTCAGGCACTGTAGGAACATAATTCAAGCACTGCTGAAAGATACCGATTAATCCGCGGTAAATCTAGGTCATAAAAAAATTCCTCTAATTATCAACAATTTTTTAAGCATTTTTGACTTGAATTGCAAACCAGTATTCCAACAGATAAAAACATTTAGCCTGAAAAACTCAACTCTAAACGATATTTAAAAACTGAAAAAAAAACTCTAATCTTTTTATTCTGATAAAAAATCATGCTAAAATGTTTTCAGAATTTGGATAATAAATTGTTGTTTCAAAGACAAAAATTGCCTGAATTCGGTCGAGCGATATCGAAACCTATTTCACTTGGGTCGACCACGGTCAAGCCATTTGTTTTGCTCGAGCATGATCAAAAGCTACCAAAATTTGGTCGAGCACGGTCAAAATTTACCAATTTTTGTTCGAGACGGTCGAATCATAAAGTGAGCACGGTCGAGCATGGTCAAAATATACCTCGAGCACGGTGGAAACATACCCGAGTACTATTGAAACATACCTAAGCCATGGTCGAAACATACCTCGAACAGGGTCGAAACATACCGCGAGCACGGTCGAAACATACCTTAAGCACTTTCGAAACTTACCTCGAGCACGGTCGAAACATACATCGAGCACAGTCGAAACATACCGCTAGTACGGTCGAAGCATACCCCAAGCACGGTCGAAACATAATTCAAGCACTATCAAAAAATACCGAATATTCCAAGTAATTCGATTTAATAAAATTTTTCTTTCAATTATCAACAATTTTTGAATCATTTTCAACTCAAATTGCAAACACCAGTACTCCAAGAGATTTGAAATAGCATGAAAATAGCATACTCCAAGAGATTTAGAATAGTATAAAAAATATTTCAACTCTAGACAGCCTTAAAACTGCAAATAACTCTAAACATTTTATTCTGATAAAAACATCATACACTGCCAGAATTTCGATGATAAAATGTTGTTTCATAGTCCAAAATGGCCAGAAATCAGTCGAGCAAGATCCAAACATATTTTGCATGGGTCGAGCACGGTCGAGCAATTTATTTCGATCTAGAATGGTCGAAAGAGACCAAAATTTGGTCGACCACGGTCAAAATGTACCGAACTTTGGTCGAGACGGTCAAACCATAAAGTGAGCACGGTGGAAACAAACTCGAGCACTATCGAAACATACCGCAACCACGGTGGAGAAATATTGCGAGCACGGTCGAAACATATGTCGAGCACGGTCAAAACATACCTCGAACACGGTCGAATTATCTCGAGCATGGTCGAAATATAACTCGTGCACGGTTAAAACATAGCCCGATTCGGTCAAAACATACCGCTAGCACGTTCGTACCGTACCTCGAGCACGGTCAAAACATATCTCGAGCATTGTCGAATTATATCTCGAGTAAGGTTGCAACATACCGCGAGTAAGGTCGAAGCATACCTCAAGGACGGTGGAGACATAAATCAAGCACTGTCAAAAATAACGATTGTTCCGCGGTAAGTATTAAAAAAATCTTCCAATTTTCAACAATTTTTAAATATTTTTGATTCAAATTCCAAACCATTATCCCAAAATATAGAAAAAAAATTAGCTTATAAATAGTTCAACTCTAGATGGCATTTAAACTGCATCATACAATGTTGCTAGAATTTGGATAACAAAATCCCTGTTGTTTCAAATTCGAAAAATAACCGAACTCGGTCAAGCGCGATCTAAATAAATTTTACTCGGGTCGGGTACAATTCTGCACTTTTTTTTCGGTCGAGCATGGTCGAGAAAAATCTTGCTTGGATCGAGCACAGTCCAGCAATTTATTCCCGTCGAGTACACTTGAAACGTACCAAAGTTCGGTCGAGCACGGTCGAAACGTAGCGAATTTTGGTCGAGACGGTCGAGCCATACCAATTTTTGGTTGATACGGTCGAAACATAAAGTGAGCATCTCAATTCGGGAGGGTGAGCAGCATTTTAACTAGTAAGATTCAAGGCTCTTTTTACTCCCCTCCACATCTGATTTTTAATGTCGAAAAACTACTTTTAGGTTTTTGTCATAATGGAATAAAGTTTTGCAATTTTGCAAACAAATTTTTTAATGCGAAAAAGACCATAGAAACGAACCAACTGCAGTGATGCTAGCGATTGAACTTCAAAGCAATCCTCAAAAAATGTTTGTTTGAAATGCCAATCCGATTCGCTTTTTTAAAATTAAATGACCTTTTTATAATTAAAACTACAAAAAGTTAACAAAAATGACAGTGGACTGAGGTTATGTCTGGATAGTTTAAAACGCTTCTATTTTTCTACTTTACTACCCGGGTTGTCAAAAATGCTTAGCTAAAAGTTTCATACTGCGCAAAAAATGTTTATCATACCATTTATTAAAAGCTTAAGGAAGGAAGATAACATTTTTTATGAAAATTGCAAAATCAAAATAAGCATACAAAACATAGCTCGAGCACCGTGGAAACAGACCTCGAGGACGGTCAATACATACCTCAAACAAGGTCGTAGCATACCGCGAGCACGGTCGAATCATACCTCAAGCACGATCGAATCAAAACTCGAGCACGGTCGAAACATAACTCGAGCACGGTCGAAGCATATCTCGAGCACGGTCGAAACATAACTCGAGCACGGTCGAAGCATACCGCGAGTACGGTCGAAGCATACCCCAAGCACATTCGAAACATAATTTGAGAGCACTGTTGAAGAATATCGATTGTTCCGCGATAATTCGAAGTCAAAAAAAATCTTCCAATTATCCACAATGTTTTCAGAATTATTGAATCAAATTGCAAACTACGACTCCAAAATTTTTTTAAAAAGTTCGCCTTAAAATATTTAAACTCTAGACGGCATTTAAACTCTAATTATTTCATTCTGAAAAAATACGATAATGCCGGAAATTGGATAACAAAAACTTGTTTCAAATTCGAAACAAAAACCCGAATTTGGTCAGGCACGATCTAAATATAAAGGTCGAGTGCATTTCCGCATTTTTTTTCGCTAGAGCACGATCGACGAATATCTCGCTGGGACGAGCATTATATTTTCGTCGAGCACAGTTGAAACATACTGAGTTTCTGTAGAGAACGATTGAAGCATATCGCGAGCACGGTCAAAACAAACCTCAAGCTCGGTCGACACATACTTCAAGCACGGTGGAAATATATCTCGAGCACGGTCAAAACATATCGTGAGCAAGGTCGAAACAAAACTCAAGTATGGTGGCAACTTTCCTCGAGCGCGTTGGAAACATACCTCGACCACGGTCGAAACACACCTCGAGCATGGACGAAACATATCTTGAGCACAGTCGAAACATACCTCGAGCACGGTCGAAACACAGGTCAAGCACGTTCTAAAGAGACCTCGAGGTCGGTCGAAACATACCTCGAGCACATTGGAAACATGCCTCGACCACGGTCAAAACAAACTTCCAGCATGGTCGAAACGTACCTTGAGCACTTTCAAAGCATACCTCGAGCACAGCCGAAACATACATCGAGCACGTTCTAAAGAGACCTCGAGCTCGGTCGAAACATACCTCGAGCACGGTCGAAACATACCGCTAGGACGGTCAAAACATATTTCGAGCATAATCGAAGCATACCTTGAGCACCGTCGAAACATATCCCGAGCACGGTCGAGCTATACCTCTAGAACGGTCGAAACATAATCCGAGCACGGAGAACATACATTGAGCACGTTGGAAACATATCTCGAGCACGGTCGAACCCTACCTCGAGCACGGTCGAATCATACCTCGAGCACGTAGAAAGATATCTCGAGCACCGTCGAAACATACCTCGAGCACGGTCGACACATACCGCGAGCACGGTTGA